TAATACAGCCTGCTCATGCTGCTGGGTGGAATTCTCTAAACCTTTACTGGTTCAGGATGCTGCCTGATTCATGAATGGTTTCTTTGCTCAAATGCTGCTACATTCCTCTAAAGATTTTCTTTTATCATGTAGCATTATTTACTTGTTTTCCTAGTTTTAGATATTTAGGTTTCATTTACTGTGTTACAAGTGCATCTTTGTTCTTATGTTTTTGTATACAACTTTGATGATTTCATCAGGTAGAATTGATTGACATCAAAGAACACAAATATTTTCAGTAGTTTTTAATGATTATAAAAAGAACATGATAATTATGGAAAAAGTGAAAACAGAGTGGCTGTAAAAATTAAAAGAAAAACATTTGTTTTGCCACCAGTAAAAGATAATCTCTACTAACAGCTTTGGTTTATTTTATTCTAATCATAGTCCTTCCACAAAACACACTTGACCTCTTCACTTTCATATTCCTTAAGATTTGTTTCTAGCTTTTATTATATCATAACATTTCTTCAATTCATTTAATATTCTCTGGAAAACATAATTTTTAATATCTGTGTATTTCTCCTACATGAAGTAGCATAATTTATTTAGCCATTTGCCTATTTTGGAGCACTTAAGTCTTTTTTTTTTTTTGGTACCAGGGATGGAACCCAGGGGCACTCAACCACTGAGTCACATCCCCAGCCCTATTTTTATTGTATTTAGAGACAGAGTCTCACTGAGTTGTTTTAGCACTCACTTTTGTTGAGGCTGGCTTTGAACTCGAAATTCTCCAGCCTCCAGCCTACCCAGAGGCTGGGATTACAGGTGAGCACCATGGTGCCCAGCTCATTTTTAATAATGTAACAATAGTGAGTATTATTCAGTACCTTTGTTTTCATTATTTACTGGTTCCCTTGGACTCCTGGAAGTAAAAATTACTAGGTTAAGGCATAAACATATTTTAATATGCTGTCAAATTGTTCTCCAGAAATACGTGTTCTCCTATATGTGTAATCTATAATACACATTTTCCATAATTATTACATTTTTGTTAAATTAATGTAGAAATACTTTATATTAATGTCTTCTTTCTAACTTTATAAAATTTATTTTTCTTAGAAATTTGTTACTTGAACTTATTTAGATTATTTTCCTAACTTTGTGCTTAGCCAATCTTTAAAAAATTGGGATTATATATAAACTTATTTATAAACTTAAAGCAATCTTTAAATTTAAAAAGGAATAAAGCAAACTTACAAGTATAGCATCATATTAGCTAAGGTTTTTATTGATTTTTTAACAAAGTTAAGCTCAATTTTCAGATACACCCTGCAAAAAAGAAAATTGATAATCATCTAGTGCCTTTAAAATGTTTAAATCTTCATAGTTAAAACTCTCCCAAAGAATTCCATTAGGAATTTTTATTAAAACATATTTAAAGAAACTAGACTTTTAAGAGTAAATTATTGATTAACCACCAACTATTTGAATAATCTGCTGTTAGATTATAAAATAATAGTTTCAAGAAGACCTTAGAGTTTTGGGGGGGATTTCTTTTCTCTGTATGCTGATTTGAATTACCTAAAGTTAAGATTTTTTTTCTATAGGTGACATCAGTATGAGAAAATTATTTGTTAGTTACAAATTGACCTACTTAGGAAAATCTGTAATTTATCATTTAACCTAGGTACACTAAGATGACCTTAATTTTTACAAGGGAAGAAATTGTCTTCAATTCATTAGCTATATTTATTGCTAGTTATGTTCCAAAATAATAGCATAATTTGACTCATGTAAATTTCCAATGAAGAATAAAAATAACACATAAAGAAAATGACAAAGGAAGAAGATATAGGCATCTGTATGATTTTGTAGAGGTCCAGGTACTTATAAATGTAAAATAAAGGAAAAAATTACAAAAGGAAATGTCACTATATTTAAGAACATAAAAATGAAGTCTTCTTCAGGAAAGGTTACCAGAAAGTATATTAAAAGAAAGATTATAAACTGAGGAAAATGCTTTTGACATATTTGGAAAACATGCATAAAACTTATAAGGATTGCTTACAAATCAATAAAAAAGACAAAACTTTGATTCAAAAATGGCCGGAGTACCAACAAAAAGTTTATACATGCTGACATGAGATGCAAATAGATACAAGTATCAGTAAACATATATTAAAGGTTATTCAGTATCACTGTCATGGTTTGGATCTGGAATGTCCCTCAAAGTCTCATGTGTTGAAGGCTTGATCCCCAATGCAGCAAGGTTTAAAGGTGGGGTTTAAGGGTAGTGATTGTATTATGAAGGCTTTTGCCGCAGTCTGGCTGGGCACAAAATCAAGAGCCACTCACAGCCTTGTAGATACAAACAGCAGTTCTTTATTCCCAAACTCACAACGGCACTCTACACATGTAAGGGGGCAATCCACGTTCTGGGCAAAATCTCAAATACTCTCTCAATCCCCCAAGAACTCAAGGGAACTCAAGGAGCAGGCGCACCTGAGGCAGCAGGATACGCCCTATTCCCAGCAGGGTACACCTTAAACCTGGAACCGCCCTAAACCTGTCCTAAACCGGAACACCCTAAACCTAGATCCACCCTAGTCCTTGAGCAAGGTGACCTTACATGCAATGTCACTGCAAATGACCTGGGTCATGCCATGCATTATTCTTACTTAGCAATGGCCCTCAGCATCTCCCCCCTTCTGATTAATTAAACAACAAGCAATGTGGCTTAAGGACCGTGCCTGGTAGGTTGTCCAATTCAACATATGGTTCTTACCCGTCATGGGAAAAACTGACCTCTAGGCATCAGCCTCCTGTCTTAGGTTGATACCACGCCAAGGTCGCAGGTTCATTCCCCGTATGGGCTACCAAATGCCGCATACTTAGCAATGGCCCTCAGCAGGCTTTGATCTCATGAATGGATTAACCCATTGATGGGTTCATGATTGAATGGATATTGTGGAGCCTAGTCAGAGGAAGCAGTAACTGGGAATGTGCCCTGGAAGGGTATATCTTCTTTTTGGCCCCCTCCATGGTTTCTCTCTCTCTCTCTCCTTCCTGATAGCCGTGAGATGAACAGTTTTGTTCTGCCTCACCCTTCCTGCCATGATGTTCCTCCTTGCTTCAGGCCCAAAGCAATGGAGGTAGCTGCTCATGGTGTACAACCTCTAAAACCAGACCCAAAATAAATTTTTCCTCCTTTAAGTAGATGTTCTGAAGTATTTTGTCACAGTGCCAGAAAGCTAACATAATCACTAATAATAAAAATACATTTAAAAATACTAATAAGAGCATATTTCTCTTCTACCAAAATGGCAAATATTTAAAGTATCATAATCTAGTGTGATGTGATATAAATACTCATAAACTACTGGGAACAGTTGATAGTATTGTTTTGGAGAGAATTTATGCATTGTTCATGAAAAACTTTAAAAATGTACATACCCTATGATCTAATGATATCAATTCTGGAAAAGTATCACAAAAATTGAAAAATATGAAAAAAAGAAAGTTTAAAAATATGCACATAGTTTATGTATTAAGGACATTCATCCTAGAATTATTTATAACATTGAATACTTGAGAAACAATGCCTAATAGCCAATAGTTAATTATGTATTTCCAAAAAGTAGAAGATATTATGCAATTATTAAAATTGTGTTGTAGGAGACTTTAATCACTTGAGAAAGTACTCATGTTTTTAAGCAAAAACTAAAAGCAAAATTATTTACAAATTATTATTCCAATTTTGGAGTACACACAGAGTTAATAAAACAAGAAGGAAATTTCTAAAAATATTAATACCATTAATAATAGTGGTGTCTTCTTTGGGTAGTGGGATCCCTGGTGATTTTTATATTCTTCTTAATATTCTTTAGCATTTTCCAAAATGTTTACAATAAACTGAATACATATGCATCACATATATTTTGCACTATATATCTACATATTTATAACTATAGTTTATACCTACATCTAGGTATATTTATTTTTCTCTCTCCATATATATCTGAACATACACATATGTATATAGAGAGTGTTTCACTTGAAAATTTTTATTAAGCTGATTGGAGAGAAGGCTGCAGACAGAATCAGGTCAATTTATGTTTTGTGTGTCAGGTAGATTTCTTCAGGTAATCAATTGTCAAAAATTTGGGCTTCTTTTGAACAGGATAACTAACTCATTCACAGAATTTTAGACCGAGAAGTCACCCTGAAGATCCTGGCTGCCAAGGTCTGCCCATCATGTTCACACTTGGTTCCCACTACCTAGTTCAGTTACCCCAGTCTTTGTACAGGAGAAGCTGCTTTCTCCAGAAACAAAACGGCTTATTTGCCCAAGGTTACACATCCCAGGGAAATAATACCAGTATCAACAATAATTAGGATTACTATTATTATTAACACTTATCACATCTACTACGTTCCAGGCACTCTTGTAAGTGCTTTATGTGCATCAACTTATTTAACACTTATAACAACCCTCCAGTATTGTTATTATTTTCACTAAATAGGCGAGAAATGGAATCACACACTGCATCAGTCCTCTGTCCTACCCGCCATTTCCTACAAACCCTAATCACCTAGAAATTGGATCCGAGGCTGGCCCACATGGGTCTTTTCAATTGAGTTCCTAGGTTGCTTCTCTCTGTGTGCATGACTGGGGAGACTTTAAAGACCCGCCATATGAAAATAATGTCCTGATGACCTGTATTACTCGGGCTTCATCCCTGGAGCGTCCCTATTGCTGCTCCGTGGGGACCAAGATATAGGAAACACTCCGGAGGTCACCGGCCTGTCTCATCCTCTGTCTTGCAACGAAGCTCCCGCTCCGGTGGCAGGGCATCCCCTCCAGGCAAGCTGCGCTGGGCCTCAGCCCCTGCCCGCTCCACCTGCTCCCCGGCGCCCGCGTCCCCGCCCCGCGTCCCGCCCCCGCGCCGCGCCCGCGTCCCGCGGTCCCTCCCTCCGGCGTGACGGGAGCACCGGCGCCAGCTGCCCGGGCAGCCAGCGCAGCGGAGCTGTCAGCAGGCGCACTGACAGGGGCGTGCGAGCGCGGAGCCCAGGGAGCGCACCCTCCTCGCAGCCGGGGAACCGGAGCTGCCGCCCCACCCGGGGAGGCTGCCTTCCTGTCCGCCGGCCGACCACCGCGGGACGGAGATGCTGCTGCTTGCCCTGCTGCAGGAGCGGGGCGGGGGCCGGGGGCGGCCGGCGGGGATGCCCCGCCGCGGGCGCGCGCCGCCCTGGAGCCTCGCCTGGATTTGCTGCTGGGTTTTCGCCGGCTGTCAGGCGGCCTGGGCTGGGGACTTGCCCTCCTCCTCCTCCTCCTCCTCCAGCCGCCCGCTTCCTCCTTGCCAGGAGGTGAGCAGCACCTGGCCCCTTACCTGGAGTTTGCCGAGAGGGCGGGGGAGGGGTTGACTGTTTATTTCTTCATTTGCCTTCGTCACCTTTTTCCTTGTTGGAGGACAGGGTTTTCGTTTTGTTCCAAGGGATGAAGTTGACCGCCCCTGATAGCTGGCCTGGAGAGGGTGTGTGGCTTTGATGCCTATCTGGTGATGTTTTCTGTTCGCGCGTATTTTTTTTCGGGTGCGGGGGGGGGGGGCTCTGAAGGACTTTGCGGTGCCCTCTTTGGAGAGTCAGGTTTGAGGACTTGGGGGTCGAGGGAGACGTTTCGACAAGGGGAGGAGACTGGGGAAGCCCCGCCAGTGAGAATTGGAGAACTATCTCATTACAGTTTTTCCTGAGACCCAGATACAGACTCAGGAGGGTTTCCCGCGCCTCCCCCTTTTCTCCACTCCCAAGTGTTTACAAACGTTTTCGTCTTACTTCCCTGCCCTCACCTTCCTGATAAGGCCCTGGGGAACTGCTAAGCCTGTGTGTAGTGTCATTTGGCATTCTTCTGGCAAAATATGGCTATAAATTGGTTAGAAAAAAAAAAAAAAGAGTATACTTGGGGAAGAGGCGGGCTGGTGATGTAGAAAATTGGAAAAGACAGAGTGAATATGCTCCTTTTGGGAGGTGCTTAATCACCTGGCTGAATCTGTGCAGCTGTGCATTTTATAGATTGAGATTATTGTGAATTTACAGCCAAGAAGGATAATTTATGGGCGATGAGATTTCCTCTAGGTTTTAGGGGAACATGACTTAGTGTGCCAAAAATTTACAGAGGGTGTCATCGTTTGGTACTTGTATTAGGTGTTTATCATTTAAATGTTCTAGAAAGTGCATCCTCTTAATAAAAATCAATGAGGGGAAGGAAGCAACATTTCTGACCTACTTTGAATGATTATGTTGAAGAGGATATGAGAGGTGGGTCCTGTTTTTAGGAAGATTGCTAGGAATCAGGGTGATAGGGCATTGAACTTAAGCAGCAAAAATAGGTTAGCCAATATCCCCTCTGGGAAGAAAGCCCAGAGCTTATTCCTTGTGTAGATTGTTATAACTTCTGAATTTTACACAGGTTTGATTGCGAGAGGATCTGTATTCTTGATATCACCATCATCCATGGATTTTCAGCTTCCTTTCTCATAATACAAGTCCCAGGACAGCCTGAAATGAAAGAGAATTAGATCAAAGGCTTGTGTGGGAAGACACAGAAGTGTTGTAATAGGGGAAATCAGGGCATGCTCTCAATAAACAGCTGTATTTAATTTCAGAGTTTTTAGTATAATTAGTTTAATATGTAGTCCACAACTTTATCACCTGGGAATAATCCATTCTTCCAGGTTTCTACGGAGAGTGCTCCTTGGACATCTTCAGTTTGAACAGTTGTGACAGTAGAAACTTTATCCTTTACCCCCATCCTCCAACACCCATCAGTCCCAATATACAGAATGTGTGTTTTCTGAAGTGAAAAGTCTTCAAGCTTCTTGTAACATTAATTCTTAAGAAATGAAGAATCTGTTCAAAATAGGTGAAGGTCAAGGGAAGTAGAGGATATACTTTGGTCACTACAACCAGACTAATCCTTTAGATGAGCAAATTTCTATACACATGTACCCAGTCGGAACAGAGTATAAGTCTATAACCCAAGGCAGAAGCAGAGAAAGAGAGGTAGGGAGATGATAGAAGGCTCAGGAAGGCTTTGTTAAGTCAATCCCAGCTTTTTATTGGCTTTAGAAATTGCCTGTGATTTATCCTTTTAGGTCTCAAATTTGACTTTTCCCTCTGACAGTAGGAATAGTAAAATGTACAGGAGGATGCTACCAAGCCTGCTTGTGGCTAGCTGTGTTTTTAGAAATGGTCACAGTTTCATTTATATTCCTCTTGATGACCAACAGAATTATAAGACCATTAACTGTGAGTTGAGTTCCTTTGGAAATAGAAAAGGCCTAGTGGCCTTCCAGGGACAATATCTGCTTTTCCCTAGTCTTACCAGCTGAGCTAATATGTAAACTTTATTGTTTCTCTGTGACATTGTTTTTAAGAGTAAAGCAAGGAAGGCTAGGGATTTTCAGGCTTTAAGGGTATGGTTATGTAGAGGGGCATGCCCTTGAGCTTAGTGCTTTCTTCTGATATACAGCTGTGAAAGTGTGGGCCCAACTCCTGTGAACAAAGGCACAGTTAAAGTAACTGCTGTGTGTCACTGCTGCGAGTTTGTCCCTTTGCACTCTTTGTTAATATTAGAGGAAGTGAAAGCTGGATACAAAGGATAGAGCTATGAGGTGGGGAAGAGAGTAAGACCAGTTAAAGTGAGGGGTTTTGAGGGTGGAAACTAAAGCCAACTCTTGATATGAGAGCATGTTGAGGAGTATGGAAAAATATGGAGGTCATTCTAAACCTTGTTTGTCTCATTATCATTTATAAAAGTACTCCTTCTTACCTAAGTTACAAAGTCTAGCAGTTTCTTTGCCTAGTTGTAGAGAAGAGCAATGAAAGGAAAGGGAGCACAGAAAATTGGCCTGGGAATAATCTAGTGATGATTGCCTGAGAGCAGAAAAAAGGCCCTTCAAAAAGACAACTGGGTATGAGTAAAAGTTTCACTTAAAATCTTGCAAAGGATTGGACTCTGGGGTGAAATTCATAAAAAAAAAAAAATCAGCTTCCTTTATCAATGTCCTTGGATTATGGAGCTGAAAAGGAGAGAAAAATGTGATTGCTTTGGAATGTTCAGCTGGTGATCAAATCAACAGGATGGAAGTACAGGCACAAACAGGAAGTGATAGTTTGGAAGAGAGAAAAAAATGTAAAGTCAAAGTACCAGCAGATAAAGAACAAGAATGGGATGTGACTTTGGTAATTGGTATTCAAAGAAAAAAAGGACCAGACATCAGAAGTACTTGAGCTTTCATATGGAGGAATTTACAGAAGGTATTTTCTGGGTATCTGTTTTTCAATTGTAAAATAAAAGTAATACAAAATGACCTACCTACTTTATTGTGAGGATGAGATTAATATATTAAAGGAAAACGACTATATTAATATAAGAGTTCTTTATTGTTAGATTAGCAGAGCTAGATGCTATTATTTCAGCAAGGGTCTACAGCGAGCCTTCAAAGGTTCAGAGGATAGGTCTATCTGAGAATTGAAATGGGATTTTTGACTCAGTGAATAAAAGGACTTAATTGGGCTGCCAGAAGAAAAAAAATAAAAAGGCCAGAAGATGATTCAGAGTTGGAGTAGGGTATTAAAAGATAGAGTACATGAGAGGAAAAATAACAGAACTAAGTGGATTATGTATGCATTATTTAAATATGGTAAATTAAATCACGTGATAGCTGATTCTTAGTTCACTGCTCTAAAATCTTGCATAATGTGATTCTACTGGTCTGTTTGAATCTTTATTGAATGATGACTTTTGTCAACAGTTTTTATTCCACAAACATTTGTTCAGCTTATACTGTATTGCAGGCAAAATGTCATGATGTAAAATCACACACACACAAAATATGCCTAGGTAAGGATGAGACAGATATGTAAATGAACAACTGCAATTAAGGGATTTGGTGCCACAAAAGAGGAGAGGGGCAGTCAAATCTCCTGGGGAGGATCAAAAAAGATCCTCCTCATAATTTCTACAGAGGAAGTGAATGACACATGAAAAATGTGTAGGAATTTGCCAAAAGACAAGGTTCAGGTGTGTGCTGGTTTGGGGAAAACTCTTTCCATGTGGAGCATAGACGGAAAAAGGACAGAAGTACAAAACTGCTTTGTCTTATAATTGGTTATCACTGGAGTACAGTGTACAATGAGAAGCTTAATGAAAATGAATCTGAGAGGCAGGCAGGAGCTGATCCCAAGGGACCTTTTATTATGCTGAGAAGCTGATCTTCATTTGGTAGGTAAGGATTTAAAAAGCAGGAGTAACGTGCTTTAGTTTGGCAATGGTATGGAGGCCCCATTGGAGCGGTGGGAAATAGAAAGAGGTGTGACCTCCTAGGAGGTGATTGTAATAGTTCAGGTAAAGAATGGCATATCCCCAATTAAGGAGTAGCAATGAAGGGGGATAAGAGAGCTTAATTTAGGAGATAGAATTGACAGTAAATGGATGTAAGATTGAAGGAGTACGATGCTCTGGCGTGATTAGAGAAAGTTGCTTCTAACCTCCAGGTGATGAGTATGAGAGAGATGAGATAAGGAACTTCCTTCTGGAGAGTGTGACTTTGGTTCAATCAGCAGTTAGGGTGTCAGGCCCTGTTGCATGGTCTGGACTGGTGCACAGATCTCAGAATCACTTGATGGGAAGGTGCAGTGAAACTACTGGATTAGCAGAAATCAAAATCATCCAGGGAGAACAAAGGTCAAAGATAGGACTTGGTTTTTGGCTAATGTTAAAGAGAACAGAAATTGAGGAAATGAAAAAGCAATGACTAGAAAGGGAGAAATGTGACAGGATGAAGTTTTGAGGAAAGGGAGAACAGCTTTGAAGAAGAAAGGGCTGGTTTTGTGTCAGTTTCCCAAAGAATTCCTGATAAAATGAGGACTGAAAAGAGAACATTGAATTTGGCAATTATGTCTCTGGTACTTTGTGCCAGAATAATTCCTATGGAGTAGAGGAGATGAGTTGACATTAATGGGAGGTAAGGCCATGGTGATATGGTAGAATTGTGTTACATGGCCTTCCTAGATTTGGTAAGATTTGGGGACTTCTAAGTCTACATAAATCAGAAGGATGATAAATGGCCATGTTTTCTATTCCACACTTTGAGGTAAACAGTTGAGAAATATCCTTTGTGCAGCAAATCCCTGTAAGTCGTGGGCTATGGGGAAAGGTGACAGAAATTCTAGAGTCACACTGTCACTGATGGAGTTAGGACTCTGCTTCTGTTTTTAAGCAGTTAACATAATTAATCTTGCCTGTTATCCCTGTGGAGGTGAATTTTCCATTTTGAGTTCTTATGCTCAGAACCATTTCTCATGTT